CCCATTTATTGGATTGATCTCATTTAATTTGTTTCATTTTTTTAAATCATGTTTTGGAAGTCATACTTTCTTTCTGTTCTTTCTCATTTCTATTCAGAGCCAAGAAACCCACAAATAAAGGACAATGATAACTAGAGTTACAGTGAGTCTTCATATAGTAGAAAGGGACCAGGCTGATTGACAAAGAATGTGGCAGGAGTATTCATGGCTCAACATTGCAGGCAGGAGCTAAAATCACTAAGGATTAAAGAACCTGGAACCCTTTATTAGTGAACCATCATTAGTCTATCTGCTTGAAACGCTCAGGGACCCACTGGGAGAAACTGGAGGGAACGAGGCCCACGTTCAGGTTCTGCTGTAAGTGCCTTTGCTTAGTCTCTCCATCTGCGCTGTGCAACTCACTTCTTTATCCTGATTTTCCTCATTTCTATGTTCTCTGTCCTCTGCTGACCCTGCTGCCAGCAAGAAGGGGAGAGGGGAAGAGATAAGGGCTTTGGAGAGAGAAGAAGGAATGTGGGCTGTGAGCTCTGCGCAGCATCAGGGTGGCTGGACAGCTCTCTCCCTGACAGCTACACACGCTGGTGCCGACCATCTAGCAGGAGGGAGCTGACTGCCCAGGCACTGTCACTGTGAACAGTGAGCAGGGCATATTTTTCCAGGAACCAGACCTTGAGAATTAGCCCATTACATGTACATTCATGCAATTAAATCGAAATTTGTGGGGTTATTTTGCCATGCAAGTTTGAGATCATACTGTAAATGTGGAATGAATCAAATTGACCAATAGTCACCTTGAGGTTGGGAACCTGTGCAATGGGGCTGGCACAGAAGTCAGGCTTTCTTGGGAAGAGGAAATTAGGGAAAATTATAACATCCCAAGAGGCTTTAGGAGGGAGTGCCAGTTAGGGCCAAAGAAGCCATATGAGCCCGAGGGAGATGCTGGCTTCTGCCGGAGAGCCACCCTCCTTCCTGGTGGTGACTTCCCTGTTCCAGCTTAGATTGGACCTGATTGAAGGCTGCTCTTGTGTCCAGTTCAGTGACTGGGAATACTGATGCCTCCATTTTATTAGCCGCCTCCATTGGAAACCACTGGGGTCTGGAAAAGGTTTCAGGGGAGGGAGTGTCTGGTTTAGGAATTCTGGGGATGGAGGTTCCTCATGGAAAGGGCTGATAGGAGAGGGCCACTTGGATCCCCTTTGGGCTCATTGTGAGGACTATGTGGGGATGTCTGCATCAGAGGAGACTCCATTCATGTGTGGCCTAGGTGGCCTCATGGTCATTGTACCTAGAGTCACCTGGCATCAAGATGCAGTGCTCCCAGCAGGCAGCACTATGGCCTGGGCCAGGAGCAGAGTAGCAGTAGAGCCCCAGGCAGGGTTCTGACAGGCTGGAGACCCTAGCAACTTCGGTCACAGTTGTCAGAGTGTCAGGTCACCAATAGGTCAGCCAGGAAAGCCAAGACACTGGTGATAGGCTGAGGCTGGTCTGTAGCACAAAATGCAGAGCCAGCGGAAGGTGGTGGTGAGCTGAGAGGCAGCACTGGTGAGGGCAGGGCGGAGGGAGCTGTGGACCCAGATTTAAGTGGCCAGTGTGCTAGGCTTTGTGCACGGTCATGTATATGCTGGACAGTTTAAGCCCTAGGGCAGTGATTTCCATCCGGTGTGCTGTGTCACAGTGGGGGGCTTTGAGAGGTTCTTAAGTGTGTTGGGAAAATTTTTAAGGATCATTAATTATTTTCAGGAGAAGTTCAAAGCACAGTAAGTATATTCTTTTTATAACTTTTTTTAAATCAACATAATTTAAGTGTGCCATGGAAGTTTAATCACAGGTTCAAGTGTACCGTGAGATAAAAAAGGTTGAAAAACACTGACCCAATGCATCCCCATGACAGAAGTAGGAAGTAATTGTCTCCACTTTATAAATGACAAAACCTACAGTAAAAAATTACTAAGTGACGAAATACACAGAAAATGATCATTAATTATAGTCATCCTGATACATCGAACTATCAAACACTGCAGCTTATTCCTTCCTTCTAACTGTATTTTTGTTTCTGTTTATCAACTTCTCTTCATACCCTATTTTCTTTTGTTAAAATTATATATATTTGTACATTAAAAAAAATAACAAAGGAACTCCCCAAACCAAAAAACCAAAAAGCCAAGGCCAAATCAAAACCCCCCGAACCAAAAGTCCCAACCTTTCAACATAACTCCCTTCCTTCCTTCCTTATAAAGCCAAGGAGCCTCGACAGCATTAGGGTTTCCTAAACCTTAATTTGCACCCACCTTTGTGATTTTGGTCATAGCCACCTTCCCACTCTGTGCTTTGTGTGAACATTTTTCTTCAGCAGTTTCACTTTTTACTTGTTTGTTTTTATTGTGGCAAAATGTGTGTAACACACAACGTAGCATTTTAACTATTTTTAAGTATACAGTTCAGTGGCATTAAGTAGTTTCACGTTACTGTGAGACCCCTTTTGTTTTGAACACGATATACGGTATTTTAGAAGGGAAAACTCAGGATTGTTATCATGAGTAGAAAGCAGAATTACTTCCCATAAAACGAAGTAACCTTTGGGATGAACGGTGTGGAGGCAGAGAGGCAGTAACTCACGGCCAGATCCTGTTGCAACGAAGGCTCTGAGATGAGGCCAGCTCCCCTCCCCACCCTGTCCCCAGAATATTTTTTTTTTTAAAGGAAGGTCACAAGTGTTGGAGAAGTCATAAAGATACACTCACAAGGTTGCTGCTTCATCCTTGACATGCTCAGAATAGAAAGTGGGGAGATAGGGACATTTTCTCACACCCAAGTACCTCCTCACACATTGGCTGTCCCTGCGTCCCCTTCTGCACTATTCTGCATACCATAACTCATGACTTATCTTTGGAACAAAGATGACTTAGCTGTTGGAACAAGTCCTTTGAGGTGCCCTCCTCATTTTTCCCCAAGAGATATCCTTTCTTTCCCTGAAACCCCTTCCAAGGCTGGATTGCCCTGGTGCTGCCAGGCGGCTATCTGGGGTGGCCACATACACAGCACTTTGTTACAGTATTGGTACGGTGCCCTGTGACCAGGCTATGCCATGTGATTAGGCCGTGCCATGTGGATAACTACAAGTTGCTCTGAGTGTGTGAACTTGGGGCAATCTGGGTGGAAAGGCAGGTGGGTCTTCCAGTGTTTGGGGGAGACTGAGGCCTATGGGAGCCCTTCTGCAGAGGCATCAGATGCAAGGGCTTCACAGTCTGACGCTGGCTTTGTATGGGGACGTGTTTCCCTGCACGATGGATGTAATGAAATGTGTGCACATGTGTCCTTCTTGGGAGCACCAGAAGGACGTGGGAAGAGTTGTTTCTGTGAGCTGTACAGGAGTGCTGTCCATTGACACCATAAAGAAACATTTTCATTACAAAGTTGTGAATGCATTTCAGTAAAACAAGCCATGATACCAGGAACATGGGGACCAGAATAAAAATTACTTTGGAAATTCTGGCACAGTATTACTACTGGATTCAGTGGCTTGGGTACTGACAGAGGTCCTGAAGAGAGGGTCTCTGTGCCTCCCTGCCTCTCCTGGACGCAGTTGACCCTCCCCTGGAGCCCATGAGACGCAGCAGATGTGAATCTCACCTGGGGCTTGGTCTCATCTTTGTCCTTGTAGTAGAAAAGCTGGTCCCCGCGCAGCACGAACCAGCGCTGCTGCCAGTTCTTCATGATGCTCCGCTGCCTCTTCAGCCAGCCTGCCTTCAGCACGGGGCCGAGCCTGTGTGTGCACGGTGGCCGCCCAGGGCTCCGGCTCTGCTCCCCCATCACCAGGCTTTTGGAGCGGGCTGCAAGCCAAGACACACACTGTGAGGGTGAAGACGGGCATGCCTGCTGTCAGTCCTTGTCCTGTCCCAGTGTGCAGCTGCCTTGCAACTGAGGTGTGGGAGCCCAGACCTAAAGGATGTGAGGCTTACTTCTCCTGGGCTTGAGGGGC